GGGGGGGGGGGTGCATTCACTGTAGCCCCACAGCGGCAGGGATGGAATCCTTGGAGATGGGGTGAGGAGAGGGACACTGGGAAAGAGGAAGGGGAAGGAAAGCTCAGGGCTCATGGGAGAATGCCCAGGGCCAACGCTACCCCCAGAGTGAGTTCTGATAGGGAGAGTAGCATTTCTCAGTGTGAACCCATTTTAACCAAAATATATTTTCTTGGCAAAAGAGTAGGCAAGCCTGGCTGGGCATGGCTCAACGGTTGAGCGTCAACCTAGGATCCAGGCGATTGGGGTTTTATTCGGGGTCAGGGCACATGCCCGGGTTGTGGGCTCGATCCCCAGTCGGGGGCGTGCAGGAGGCAGCGGATCGATGACTCTCTCATCATTGATGTTTCTCTCTCTCTCTCCCCCCCTCTCCTTTCTTCTCTCTGAAATCAGTAAAGATATATTTTTTAAAAAAAGAGAGAGTGGGCAAAACAAGGGGTTCAGAGCAAGAGTGGCCTTCCATAAAAGGAAGTGTGCAGAAAAGGCCAGCATGTCAACCAAGGGTTATAGAGATTTTCTAATGTTTTTTAAATTTGTCTTTATTGTTAAAAGTATTCTAATTTTTAATTTTTTATGTACTGACTCAAAGCAGTAGGTAAGCACCATTTACATGTGTCGTTGATAACATTTGGGATTTTTCTAAGAACAAAAAATTTGTTACAGTATTCCTATGTGCCAAGATAACCGGGTGATGGTTTGGCGGCCACGGGCCTAAGGGCCTAAAGGGAGACAGGCTGTCCTGGCCACCAGAGGGCAGCATAGAAACTGGGCTTCCAAGTGCCAGAGGCCAGGAGTGAGGTGGTCAGACTCTGGGCCTGGGGTCTCACCAGTGCTCTCCTTCAGGCCCTAACTAACCCTTTCCTCTCTTCCCTAGCTGTCCAGAACAGTCCAAAGGGTTGCCACCGGGACAAAAGGACCCAGATTGTCTACAGTGATGATGTCTACAAGGAAAACCTTGTGGATGGCTTCTAGGTTGCGGAGCTGGATTTCTTGTGCCTCATCTGCCCCAACACTGGTCTCAGTAAAACACTGAGGTGGAAGCTCACACATCTCCCTCAGCCTCTGGTTTTTCAGCACTTGGGATTGGGTTGAGCCTTTAAAAACGGCTGTTAGATTTTATTTCAAGATGGGCAGTGCACATTCCCCACTCCCTTACCCCAAAGGAACTTCAACACGGGTATTGTCACAGCTGTTTTAATTTGATCTCATNTTTGTAACAAGATGGGCAGTGCACATTCCCCACTCCCTTACCCCAAAGGAACTTCAACACGGGTATTGTCACAGCTGTTTTAATTTGATCTCATGCCCCTTTCCAGCAGGAAACCCCTTATAGAAAATCCAGACCCTCATCTCGGAGTTTCTCCTTGAGCCAGGGCAGCACTTGGAAGAGGTTGATGTGAAAGTCTCGGGCGTGAGCAGGTACCTGGTGCTGCAGCCTCTTGTCTTTGCAGACATCCACTACACCCCAACTGATCACACCAACCTGGAGAGGGTGAGGGATTGCCATGGATCATTTGGTAGAATTCCTTCCGTAGCCCAGGAAGCACAACTACTCCCAATTGCATCTGCACTGACCTAGGGGAAATAGACTAGGGACCCAGCTTGGTCCTGTCCTCTGCACACCCAGGCCAGACACATGGCCCTGAGCCGCCCAGGTCAGGGAACAGTCGTGAGATGAGGCAGGCTCTTCCCTCCCCTTTTTAGCTGCATCTGTTGACCTTTTTTGCTTTGGGTCCCGTGCTGACCTCTTGGCGTCTCCCCACAGTTAGGAAAGGGGGGACTTACTTGAATGAAGCGACTCCTCTTGTGAATAATCAGGGGGCCACCAGAATCACCTACAGGGGAGAGAAGCTGTAGGGAAGCTCTTGGGCCTCAGGAACTTGCAACTCCACCAGAGAACCTGTTCTCACCTCTGCAAGTGTTGGGGTCACCGTAGGGATCCACCCCTCCAGTGCAGAGGAACCTGGGGGTGACCACCTCAGAGATGTCCTTGACTTTATCATAGCCTGGGGCCTTTTGAGCATCTCTCTCACATGCAGCTTTCTGTAGGTGAGGAGGGGAGTGTGGAAAAGAGAGAACAAACAAAGCTTGCTTACAGAGAATCAGGGCTGAGAAGACCTCCTTAGGATCCCACATTTCTCACCTTATCCCCATTCTTGATGAAGACCTCCTTCCGAGCCAGCGTCTTCTTCCCATCCTTGAACAACTCGGTCACAAACAGAGCTTTGATATCCTTTGCAGGGAGCAGCTCTTGCACTGGACCGATGGACAGACTGGGTCATTTCAGCCCTCTCCCTACCATCTCAGCAAATGTCCCTCAGCCCCTGCCTATAAGCTGGGGACTCCGGCTGGCATCTCCAGCTCCCCCCATGCCCCACTTGTCTTGACTTGCCCTAGTGCTCCTCTCCCTGAACATGTCTTACTCTGTTGCTGGCAAGTGGTTGACAGTGGAAGCCTCAAAGCTTGATTTGTCCCCTCGGTGCAAGGGAGACAGATGGGCCTGTTAAGGGGAGAGAGGGAGACTCGGGTGGAAAACTGCCCCTGCTCCAGTCCTCCAGCCCCACCTTTGCCACTTTTTCTTAGGGAGACAGGTGTCTGACCTGAGAGTCTCACTGTACTTAAGTTTCGTTTTGAGCTTGATTAGGGCCACATCATAATCATAAAATTCAGGAATTCCTTCTGCTTTTTTCCCATTGATGTTGTACTTGGGGTGGAACAGAACTTCTTCTATTTCCAAGTCCTGCTTCTTCCCTCCTAAGGTGGGAGGAGAGGGAACCTCTAGGCAACCCACTTCTCTGTGGACAGCCTCCTGCCTCTGGCCCCACACCATCCCTGACGGATTCGGCATATACAGGAAGGGGCTACATTGTGGGTGGACTGGGAGCTCAGAATTTATTCACCGTGTCATCCTCACCCACATTGACCTTGATTGAGTGTAACTGGTCATCCACTGTGAAACAGTGGGCCGCTGTCAGCACAAAGTACTCAGACACCACAGCCCCCATGCAGTTTTCATGTCCCTTTGAAGGGCGCTGTGGAAATGGCAGAGGGAGAAAGCTTGACTTTCACAAACACCAAATTCTAAAGTGCACACATTGCCTTTGCCCTACCCCCATTTCACCCTGACCTCACCCCCAGGAGTTACCACCACCAGGATGCCATGCTTACGGTGACTGAGATCTTGGCCTGCCACGGCTGCTTGTGGTAATCAGTACCTTTCCTGTGCTCCCAAACCATGCCACAGAGACCCAGTGTCCGGGTTTCATCTGGCAAGAAAAGAGAAAGTGCTGAAAGCCAGGACACTCATCCCAAATGGCAGCACCTTTTGGGGAGGGACACCTACACATCCATGGAGAGCAAGGCCTGTAGGAGAAAAGGAAAGGCAAGGGCATTTGTTTACTTATGTCTAAGACAAGAAATCGCTGGTACAAGCAAAAGAATTAGAGACTTGGCTGAAATTAGGCTGAACTCTTGCTAGCTTGCTGTCCCTTGACATCTCTTGGCCTCAGTTTCCACATCTATAAAGCAGGGGACTTGAGAAAGATCAATGACATGATTGGGAGCTCTGATTCTAAGATCAGGAAGCAGATGGTGCCAGGAAACAATAATGACACTATGGCAGAGAGAAGGAAAGAGGCCTTCCAGACTGCCAGGGTCTTGGGAGGAGAGGAAAGATGAGTGATCCTGGGGGACCTGGGGAGAGCTGAGCTTCCTGGTCATCTCACGCTTCTGATATCTTCCTACCGAGCATTTTGACGAAAACGTCCTCCAGGTTTTCCATGTCCTTGACTTTGAACACATGTTGCTCGTTATCTTTCTTGGAAGCCAAAGCATTGATGTTCTCTTGGTTGACCAAAGGCCCAACCCCAAACACATAGATGTCTGAGGGAGAAAAGGGGAGGGTGAGCTCAGGTCCAGGCTTGGGGGTGGAGGTGGGTAGGAACTGAGAAAGCAGGGTGCTGGGTCCTGGGCAAAAGAACTCACCCAGATACTCTTCCCTTGGGTTTTTGCGATCCCTACCAATGTCCAGCAAGGACCGTATATCGTGAATGACAGGGACTGGGTCCCCACCCATGTTGTGCAAGCCTACAGAAGAGACAGACCATGAGGGTGGGAGGTGAGGAAGAGGGTCATGAGAAATCAACCAGAAATAGTGACACATGGCTGGGTAAGGAGGTCGGGAAGGGGATGGAAGTGACAAATCGGGAGGAGTCCCTCCTTGTAAAGTGTCACAGGAAAGATCAACATGATTAAGGCCCATTGCTTCTCAGGGCCCAGCCATGAGTCTGGTGTTCTATGTAGACCTAGGAGCCACACACACACACTGGTGTGAGAGGTGGGGAGTCGGGCAGGGGAAAGGGCCCTCTGACCGTCAGTCATGAGAATGATGACATGGCGGGTGTGGTTCCAGCCTTCAGGGGGGGTGTTTCCCGCCCAGCTCATCATGTTGTACACCGCCAGCAGGGCCTTCTTGGTGTTAGTCCCGGTCTTCAACTTGTGATCTGTGATAAAGAAAGAGATTGCCACCTCACGTAGTCTCCCAGGCCATCCTTGAACCCCAGAGGCCTGTTGGCAACAGATCCCACATTTTGCAACTGTTTTAGTTCATTGTCACCACACTGGCTTCCCTTTGACTGTAAACTGACCTTCTCAGTCCCTAACCTCTGTGCCCCACTGGCCCTGCTGTCCAACTATGTGCTACAAAGTGTTCTCCCTGCTCCAGGTGGTCTCAATACCCCTGAACCTTTTTTTTCTTTTTCTTAATCCTTTCCCAAGGATATTTTTCCCATTGCTTTTCAGAGAGAGTGGAAGGGAGAGAAGAGAAAAAAAAAATATGTGAGACACACGTTGACTGGTTGCCTCCCGAACGCACCCTGACAGACTGGGGATCGAGCCTGTAACCCAGGCACATGCCTTTGGCTGGC